GTTTGTCAGCCCAGGAGTCCATGAATCGAATTCCTAACTTGTATTTTGATTTTGATGTTCAGGTTTTCAACAATGTTTATGTACTTAGTTCCTTTTTTCGCTGATGAATGGAGTTTCTCCCTGCTTTGTCGGCTCTCTGCTCCTAAATGCTAATCAGCAGCACACCTTCGGTCGAGAGCTTTGAACGGCGACAAGTTGGTGGTGGAGTTTATCTTGAATTCTGCTGCCCAGTGTTTGTACTTGTGGACCACTGTGGCTTTCCTTCCAGCTGGCCCCGCTGATCCCACGGTTCACCTTCGCCGTTTTTCTCTCTGCAGCAGACTGCTTGTCTTGGCGAGGCCACCTGGCGCTAAATTCATTGAGTAGTGACATCATGACTTCCTCTAAGAGGTTGGCACATTTGCTGCTTTCAGAGGTGAAAATGCTTGCTTGCTTTTCCACTACAGGGCCAAATAGGACTGGCTACATGCATTATGACAAACTTCCCGGCAAAAAACCTTTCTGTTACTGTTTTTTTTTTGTGTGTGTGTGTATGTGTGTTATTGCAAGCAGGAATCATTAACCAGCTTAGCAAAAGGTTCCCATAAATGCACAGTGTTTTATTAAGGTTGGAAGTTCGCCTTAGCACTGAAAGCTCCACTTGGCCCGGTCATTGAAATTGATTGCAATCTAACTAAGAGGCTCTGGGCTCTAGACTGTACACATGCCAAGCTTTGGTTTGGTGGGCAGGGTGCCGAGTCTGGGCGGCACTAACACTGAAGAAAGTCATTTAGTAACTTAAATGTCCTCTTCTCTTTTTTTCCCCTCTGCTCTGCCCGTCCATTCCTTGCATTCTTTAATCAATCATCCCGTCTGCGTCCTGATCCACCTTCACCCCATGTCCCCTCCTCTCATCACTCGTCTCCCCCACTCCATCTCTGATTGATGTCTGATTCTCCTTCCTGGTCTCTCATCCACGAGTTCACATAGACGTACAGTAGAAGTAGCGTCTATAGCTTTGCTGGCGTGTGCTGATGGCTCTTCGAAGCACTGTTTGGGAGTGTTTGGAGAGGAATCCACTTGCTGTTGTTGTCAGTCTACCTGTAGACAGTTATGTCTTTGATAGTTTTTGTACACATTTTATGGGAATGTTCAGGGAATGTGATTTTGCATTCCTTTCCCCGTGTTGTTGTTAACCGCTACCTAGCTTTCTTCTTTGTGAGCAAGTAGTATGTCTATAAGCTAGCTATTCGACAAAGGGTAATGCGACCTGAAGCAGGGTCAGCTGTTGTTCTTTTTTTCTGCCGAGAGCTCTTGGTGAGACTATTTAGTGACTGGTGATGTAGTAGTGAACCCGGGTTAAACAGTGCTTGGATTCTGTGTGTTTGAGCTCGCACTGTTTATCTGATGTTTGCTCTACAACACTCTTCTGCTATCATTTCACTGCTATCATGCCTGCAGATCAGAGGATTGGCTCTGTCTCACAGAGATTGTTGTCCACTTTGAAGATGTTACCATTGATTTGTATTTAACCTCAGTCTAGTTCTGCTCTGTGAATGGAGAAAGGAATATCTGACTCATACTCACCAAAGTGTAGTGTCTTTTAAAAACTAATGGACCTGTATTTGCCTGTAATTTATTGTCCTGTCCTTTGTCTTAGTTAGTGTGCTAGCATGTAGCTTGCATGAGAAATGGTTGGAAAGTGTAGATAGTGTTGCAGATGAGCAGCGATGACAAGTTCGTCTCCTGAGACGAGAAACGGCGGCCTAACCGGCTGACCTCCCTGCTTTTCTCTGATCTGCAAACATGTCCCAGTGAAATCCGTCTGCACCGCCTCAACACAGCAGAAAAGCAGTGAAGCAACTGGCAAAGGAGTCATTATGCCCTTATCAAAACCACGTAGGGGTATAGTGTTGGACTGAGATTTGCACTCACGTCTAATTGCATTTCAGTGCATCAGTGCAGTAATGATTGACTGTCACCAGATGCCAGCAAACAACAGCTTTTCTTCTCCCTCCTCAGTCGGTACGAGCTGTCCTGCCCTTCCACCAGACGCGCCACCTCCTCTTCAGGCAGCTGCACACTAGCTGCCGCCCATCTCTTTTAATTTTGTAGAATAAGCCAATTAATTTTTAAATTATGTTTCGTTAAAGGTGTGCATAATCTCATTGTTTTCATTTCAATTGATATCTTTTTTTCTTTCCTTGAATTTAGATGTTCCAAAACTTGAAGGTTAGACATTTAGTTTTTTGCATATGTTATTGTTTCAACAACGATTTTTAATTAATTTCATGTATATAGTGTTGCCTTTTACCAGACACTCTTACGAGCGCACCCCATACATACTTTGCACATACACTTTGGATACAAACACATCCACACACATATTTGGATATGCACAGCAGGCTTGATGTCTGTTACTATGGTGTATTTGTACATATGTGTGTGTGTGTGTGTGTGTTTGTGTATGAGTGTGAAGCGTGAAGCGTGTAATAATTGACCCAGACAAACTTCAGATTTACTCTCATGTGTGTTGCATTCACAAAAATGTTCTTATTTCAGTAACTCAGACAATGTCTTTGTTCTTATCATTATTATTTTGAATGACAAGTCTTCCTTTTGAATAAATATCCATATCACATGGGAGTAGTGCTGTCATGTATGTTAATTTGTACTATGGCTGATGATGTCATCAAGGTGAGGCCCAACCGCATGCAGTGGTGGGTTTTGCATCTGTTGGCTGTTACGTTCATAAAGTATTTGTTTTTTGGGGTTACTTTTGTTAAAATAACAGTTCAGTTGTTGACTTCAATAAACATGCATTTGGGTTAATTTCACGTGTCTTATCATTTGTTCTTTATGCTGGGAAACAGTAAAAATTCCAGGTCTGAAATGCCCATTAGAGCTTTCTTATGAAACTTTTTTTAATATGAAAGTGTGGTTAAACACATATTTTGCTAATCACATTTAATAACTCAGCACAGACTCAGTTATTAGTACCTGTGTTTACTGTTTCACGCTGTAAAATTTTGTGGTCCCGGCAGTTTACTGCATCATTGAAAAATGCAACATTTTCTTAAAAAACTGAGACTTTTCAAGATCAAAGAGCTCTAAGGCGCTCTCTGTTATTTCATATTTTAAATGCCTTCATATTCATCATATCAGAGAAATATTTGTTGAGAATAGCTTCCTATCTCTCTCTGAACTAGATGGACTGGACAGTTTCTGATTCTAGACTCAATTTGAATCGAAGCATTGCGCCTATGGAAATACTCTTCAGCTAAAATATAAGAAATATATACATATATATATATTTAAAAGAATATTATATGCTAGATCTGTAGTGACTTGATTAGGACTTTAAACAGGCTTATGAGATTTATGAGCTTTCTTTTCTTTGTCAGCGGATTCTGGGGTTTTTTTCCTGTTTTTTTTTTCTTTCTTTCCAGTGATTAAACATCTTACTTTTCATCAGTCTCTGTGCTTGAAAAACACTTTTCCCCCCAGAAAGTAATTGATGTGATAAAATGGCTCATAAATCTAAAAGCCACAGAATGAAGTTATCAACAGGTCCAGATGAGCCACACTGCATATTTTGTTTCTAGCACGCAGCTAAAAAGAAGGTCCAACAGATGGCAGTGCAACATAGTAAACTGAACACTCTTGTTTAAACAGAAATGATCTTTGGTTATAAAACTAAGAAAGCTACTGACTGATGTTCTCACTTAATTCTATTAACTTACATTGGACACTGGCAACAAAATTCATCTTATTATGTCTGAAACCGATTATTAAGTCTTTCTTTCTTCTGTGTGGTTTCCTTTCATTGCTCTTATCTTTCCCTTGCGTCCTCTCATTTAGTTTGGGGAAAATTGTTAGCACATGTTGGTACTGGAGGTTAATAATCAGCCTTATATTGTGCACATGCTACTGGTTAATTGCACAGTATGTAGTCGCATCAAAACAGATGGATGATGCGTGCTCTCCATTCATTTAAAGATAAAGAACTATTTTTTTTGCGGAAGTTGTTCTACATATAAAAGCGCAGTTGGGATGAATAAACAGAATGCCGTTATAATAAATTCATTAGTTTTCACCCTCAGAAATGTGATCCCGCTCAAACTGAACAAAAATGCATTGATGTAGGTGCCAACAAATGCGTGCACTGCCAAAGCTGACCTCATTTGGGTGGTGAATTATGCAATTTTAACGCAATTTACATGTTGCTGTATTTGCAGGCAATGAAACTTCTTAGCTGCAATTAAACGGGTGTTCTGGTGGCTTTTACGCTTTAAAAATAAATAAATACAAATGAATACGAATTCCCTCTATAAGCAGATATTCCCATTAGCACACTGGATACGATCGGGCCACTGTTATTGCACTAGTCCTAATAGTAACAGTAATAGCAACATGTATAAATATTCAACATTCATTATTTTTTATGGTTTAGCTCTCAAAAGCTATTCAAAAACTCTTTTGCTGTGATTTGATGAGCAAAGAATTTACTCTAGTATTTTAAAACTATGATCGGCACATGAAAATCTGTAGTCCTGTCATCCATAGCCAGATATACACAATCTGGTATGAAATGATCAAGACGCCTAAAGCTTTGAACAATGCAAATTTCTGATCGTTTTTTATGTGAATCGAATTAATGTCCAGAATATCTGACTTAAACATGTAACTATCTACACTATCTACACTGCTTTGCTACTTTAATTTAAAGGTTACAAACTATTCACATCCATAATCTGCATAATCTGTGTTTTCATCCTTAAAGCAGCATTCATTTGTAAAGTTTAACACCTGACTGTTTGGGTTTCTTTTTATGTTTTAAACGCAGTTCTTGTTGTGGCCGCAGCAGCGCCCTCCTCTCTGTTCTCTCTAAAACCGAGATTTGGAGCGGGAGGGGTGGAAGAGGTGGAGGTGGTGGTAGTGAAGGAGGGAGGGGGTGTGTGCTACTGATTGTATGAAAGGAGGGGGGCACATAGGAAGAGAGAGAGAGAGTAAGAGAAGAGAGGGAGAGAGGAATTCAGTCCTATTTAAATGGGAATCAAAAGCGCACAGAGGAAAAGGGACCAAGAGTGAGAAACAAAAAAAAGTGGAGTCAGGTTTAATTTACGCACTGAAAAAACTGAGACATAGTTTAAGAAAGACAAGGGCAATAGAATTAAAGAAGCATTGGATTTTTTTTTTTCTCTAGATGTGTGTTTTTGCACTCTCATGACTCAAAGAGGATTCCAGTTAAATTCACCCGATCGGGAGGAATTGATGGTGTCTTGTTGGGGAGGCAGAGCCGAGGGGAGGAATCTGAATGCGCTCGGCTGAACCATGCCAGCTTTGTGGATCATAACTTTGGCGATCACTTTAAACCAAGGTGAGTGATGTTTAAAGACGCTCAGTTTGACCTGACTAAGACACGAGAAACTGAAAGTTTCTGATAAATACCCGATTTTCCACCCTTTTATTGTTCCCACTGTTTGTGCGGGCGTCTGTGAGCTTTGTGGGTCTCCTTCGGTCTGCGCTGGCAGTGCTTGTATATTTTGGATTTATGTCTGGCGATGAGTCCGTGCGCATGGTTCTCTGTGCGCGTGTTGTTACAGATTTGTGCCGCCCTGGACATCATCATCAGCCCCTCAGCCCGCAGAAGCTGAAGGGAAAGAGTCGTGGGGTTTTCGGGGTCTTTGCCCTGTTGGGGAAAATTTGATTTTAGAGTGCAGACACAAACGGCCCAGAGTGGCTGCATTCATTTTTCTTCAGTTACACGTTTGTGGGAGAGATGTGGAGCATCTGCAAACGACATTTCTTTGACGTGACCTTTAAAACGCATGGATAGAATTGGTTGACACATACGAAAACGCAGTGTGGGTCACACATGCGCGCGCACGCTTGCCCATGCAAACACACATTGCGCATAACCTGCCAGCCGGGGGATGATTGATGAGGCGAGGATCCAATGCACAGTCTGGTCGCTGGGTTTTAACATAAGTCACACTGAATCAATTTCCAACACGTACGCGCACACACACATGCAGCATGCACGCGCTTGGCGCGATCGTGCCCTCAGTCTCTGTATCGAGCCTGTGTGCAGTGAGAGTAGTGTAAAGACCAGCGCAGACAACTGTCCCTCGAGAGAGAAAGTCGATGTGTGCGTGCGTGCGTGTGTGTCTGTCTCTCTGTGTGTGTTAGTACTCCTTCTTAGCATGCAGGTAGAGTCTTGCGTGCTCGTGTCCGTGTGCGCGGTCCTGCTGCAAACGTTCAGGTGCCAAGAAAAATTCATATTTTACCTTAAAGACGGAGACATATTCAGTGGACTGAAAGAGAGTCCCATTACTAATATTAATGTTCCTATTTATCGATCACCTTGATAGATTGCCCTCTCTCACACACACAGCGACACACACACACACCTCAGTGAATGAGCAGATGAGTGTGCGTTTGTGTTTGAGGGCAGTCACTGCTCCAAAGACAGAGGTGATTAATTGAGGTGGCCTGATGTGAACAGTTCAACCGTGTGTGAGAGAGTGTGTGTGTGTACCTGCTTCAGCACCTGGGTCCCTGGTGCTGCAGGCCGAGGGTGTGATGAACCACAGACAATGATCTACCTAGACAGACAGTCAGAGGAGCTCCCAGACTGGAGCTGAGCCGACCACCCCATAGGATTATAACAGAGCAGGACATTCGTGCTTCACGCAAGAAGGTTAAAGATGTTACAGAATAATATGTCAAAGTCAGAATATCTGAAATTGAAGATTAGAAAAGAGATCTGATTAACTGGTGTCATGGCTACAAGGAGCACTGGTAATAAGCTTAATTGAAGAGAAGGAGAGACATGGGTGAAGTATATTAAAGTTTGTTTTTTTGTACAATAAAGAGAGAATAAAGCAAACCAAACAGAGCAGGGTCACCAAAGAAAATAACAGAACAGCAAAACAGCAGAGAAGCTCTCAGCTCAGAGGAAAGGTGACCAGAACTGAGTTATGTCAGATGGAGGAGAACAAGAAGAAACATAATGAAGTAAAAACACGGGAGAGAACAGAAGCAAAATGGATCACGACAAATTAGAAAAGAATATAAGAAGGAGCAGAACAGAAGAAATGAGAGAAAGGACGAACAAAACAACAGAACCAGCAGAGGAGGTTAGAAAAAGTGTACATCAGGGGTTTCAGACATGATACCTGCTGGCCAAAATCACCATAATCCAGTGCAGTGGATGTCTTTGCAAGGTTTTTGGGCTTTTTGCTGTATTTTGAAATGCTGTGCTGCAAGTCACCTTCTTCGTGGCAAAAACATTACCACACTACGTCAAAGCAAAGTTGTTAAGTGAAGGAGTCAATCCTAAACATGTTGTTGATGACAGAAGCATTTCTTTGTCACGACACTAGAATGACTTAGAAGGAAAATTTAGACATATCTTTCTTAAGTCATCACCATCTGTTTACAAAATGAACTGCCTGGAAATTCATGGTTTATTACATGTGAACTTTTAGAAAAGCTCACTTGTATTTCTTTATGCTAAAAGAAAGAGAACATTTTGTAGACTTTTTAGGAGATTCTACTGGTCTGGCCCACTGGGACGCTTGTGGCCGATGAACCAAGGTGATTTTGACAACACAGGCACAGAACCTGAGAGCAGAGAACAGAGCAGAACAAAAACATAAAGAGAACAGCAGCGAACAGACGAGAACGGAGCAGAGAAGCAGATCAGTGTTTCCTGCTGAGCTGGTGTAAGCCTGTAAATGTGATCAGAGGGAATCCGTCCCCTACATGCAGCATCTGCAGCTTAATGTGTGTTTAGCCTGTTTGGACTCTTCCAGGTGTCTGCTGCCTGGACTCTGCCGCTGACACCTCAGATGGTCTCTCAGCCTGATTTACTGTTCAGTTCAGTGGCGTGTCTGGCTTCCTAACACAGACCAGCTACATCTCTGTGTGGTTGACCGCGCATCTGTGGGCCCCTGCAATTACGATTGGGCTCTGTATGTGTGTGTGGGTCTGATGTAGCGTGTTGCCACCGTGAACTGCTGCTGCGCTGCCAGCGCTGGTCTGGCCACAGGCGAGGAAGCCTGATTCTCAGAGTCGATTCTTGAACAGACCTTTTTGCTTGAGTTGAACATTTTTGCAGCCTGATCATGCAAACAAGGCAAGGAAAGCAATTCTTGCACTGCAAGCACCTGTCCCATCTCTCGTCTCTCTCTTTCACACACACACATTCACACACACACACACACACACACACAC